TCTGTCCCGACCCTGAGGTTACAGCATACCGAGGACAGATGTCTGTCTCGATCCTGAGATCATAACACACAGCTGAGGACAGCTGTCTGTCCTAACCCTGAGATTACAACTCACCGAGGACAAATGTTTGCCCTGCAGAGCAGTGCTCTTCATGTCTGCCGTACTAAGAAAGACTGTATCTTACATGGCAGGTCAGTTCAAACAGTGGCACAGGCAGACAGATATAAAACAGACAGAAAAGGGTCAAAGAAATCCCACAACCATATGCAAGTCTGGGCCTGGAATCCCAGTGGGAGGGAGGAAAGAGCTGGGCATTGTGGTCAGCACTGAATTGGTAGATTTAGTTGTGAGGTCTAAAGGCTTCCTTTCCCTCAGCTGAGGGCCTGTGGCCTGAAACTTGGAGATCAACACCTTGTCAGGAAATTATCTCCCACCATCTACCTTCAATCCCAGGTTGGAAGGATCCAAGGAGGAGGGGCTCCAGCAGAAAGGCCACACACATTTTAGAGTTCAAAAGGCCCAAGCTCCCCAATGCCTGGCTCTGAGGAATGAGTGTGCTGGCAGGGTGGTTATTAGAGGGCCCGGCAGAAAACAGCAACACATATGGAAAAGCTGGTAAAAGAGGGAATATTGCTTTTCCAACACAAAGGACATGCATGGGTGGTTCAGTGGTAGAATTCTCACCTGCCAATACAAAGGACATTACCCTTCTGGGTTGAATTAAGTTGCTTTAACCTGTGTCATGTTGGAGCATCTTTCTAAAATGGAACATTCCACAGTGAAAGTATTTTTAAATAGAGGAAAAAAAGGAGCTGGATGGGCTCATTTTTGGGCTTCAGAAACTTTGTTTTATAGAAGTTGCAATCAAGGTGGGTGACTGCTTGAGCATGGGAGTTTAAGCCCAGCCTGGGCAAGGGCAAGACCCCATCTCTACTAAAAACAGAAAAACTAGCTGGATGTTGGTAGTCCCAGCTACCTGGAAAGCTAAGGCAGGAAGATCTCTTGAGCCCAAGAGTTTGAGGTTGCCATGAGCTATGATGATGCACAGCAGTGTGTTCAGGATGACAAAGTGACTAACACTGTCTCAAAACACAAACAAAACCAAAAAAGAAAAAACAAAAACAAAACAAAGATGAGGACGTTGCAATGTACCACTTGCTTGAAATGCCATGTCACTGCCTGGCTTACTTTCTGTTTCTTCTCAGGGGAAGGAACAAATGGAAAGAGAGAAGAGAGGGTAATTGTTGGGAGGCAAAGGGTGCTCCTCTGAGCTGCTTTCCCATGTCGGGGCTGACGCTCCAGTTTCCAGGAGGCTGCTGATGGCTGCATGCTTGGACAGCTCTCAGCCCAGCTCAAAGACAAGCCTTCATGGCAAAGGTCCCAGGGAGCTAGGCTCCATCCTCCCTCCTCCAAATATTAAAGCAGCACAGAGGAGGTAGCTTCAAAATGACAAACACAGGCAATAAATGAGCTGTTGAAGCCAGGAGCAGTTTACTCACCACACCCTGTCACAGGCCCTAAGTGCTAACCTCATTCTCACTGGGTCCTCCACTGCCCACCTCTAACTGAACCAATGTTTGCCTAACAACCCCACCCACCCAACCAGGGCATGGCCCTGCTCCTTTTGGCAGTGTTAGCTCAACTCTGGGAAATACACACCAGAGGCACTTTTCTGTCTAAGCAATCTCTTTGAGCCCAGTTCCAGGCTCCAGAAGGCCTCCAGACCACTTCATTATCCAACTCAAATCTCTGCTCCTCCCATTCAGCCAGGAGGGCCCACTGGTTGGAGGCTGGTCGGTTGGATGGCCTCCCTTTGCTGTAGGCACAGGCTCACTCCTGTGTCCATCAGCCTTGCAAGTCTTCTTGGCACTGTAGGCAACCACACCCTGCTCATCTTCTGAGAACAAGCATAGTTGAGAAACACTCATTCCAAGCAAGACTGCCAGAGAAAGCAGAGAGCCATGGGTGTCGGAACACAAACCCCAGTCCACAGAGCAAGGAAGCTATGAAGCCTTAAGTATAAACTGGCTGGGAAGCAGAAGGGAAAAGAAATTAACAAGAGGAAAATGCACAGGCTTTCAATTCAGAGAAAGGGGAGTGAGGAAGGAAATAGGCCAGGGATGGGGGAGGGTTGTTTCCAGTTTCTTTGCCTGAGAGATTTTCTGTGAATTCAGCTATGTCCCCATTTGGCCCTGCAAGTCAACTGCCTGGTTAGCAGAAAAAAAAAATCATGGGACTAATTGAAGGATGCCCAGAGATAGCCAGGAGCTACACCCTTAATAGCTGCAGTCAGCACTCCCAGAGTGTTTTCCTTTTTGCAAAGGATACAGGGCTACTCACCCACCTCCAGAGCTGATTGGTGTATCTCTGTGGGGTCAGACAATAAAGTTCAAAAATCCATCCCAGAAAAAACTGCTACATACCTCGTTGCTGAATATCACTATGGTCACCTTTGAGGTACTCCCCTTGACCATGTGGTGACCATAGTGATATATTCAGCAATGAGGTTATGTAGCAAGTTTTGGAGAATGAGTCTATGAACTTAATTGTCTGATCTCATACGTAATCCCAGGACCTCTACCTCTGAGAACTCTTTTCTATTAATGTGAGTATTTTGTTGTTGTTGTTGTTTTTTTTTGAGACAGAGCCTCAAGCTGTCCCCCTGGGTAGAGTGCTGTGGCTTTACAGCTCACAGCAACCTCCAACTCCTGGGCTCAAGTGAGTCTCCTGCCTCAGCCTCCAAAGTAGCTGGGACTTCAGGCGCTCACCACAATGCCTGGCTATTTTTTTGGTTGCAGCCATCATTGTTGTTTGGTGGGCCTGGGCTGGATTCGAACCCACCAGCTCAGGTATATATGGCTGGCGCCTTAGCCACTTGAGCCACAGGCACTGAGCCAGCAACTCTTTTCTAAATAAGAAAGACAAAAGTGGTCCTGCTGTTGAGCAGCACCTGTGGCTCAAAGGAGTAGGGTACTGGCCCCATATGCCAGAGGTGGTGACTTCAAACCCAGCCCCAGCCAAAAACTGTAAAAAAAAAAGGGGGGGGAGTCCTGCTTAGGGCTCCCACCAGGCCACTGCCCCAGACAGTCCAAGGTAAAGGAGAGGCTGCCACCTACACCAGGCACTCAGACCACAGAACCAAGCTGCTGCCTAGTGCCACCAGGTCCTCATATCATAGTATTGGGACACTTGGATGATGCCTCTCAGATGTGGACAACAGCATGTCCATCTTTTTTTTTT